AGCCGTTAATACTTGTTATAACAAAAAAACCCAAGTGCCCCCCGCCGGCACCGCTGCTGCCGGCCGCCGGCATCTGGAGTCTCTCATCCCTGCCTGAAGCTGCTCCATGCATGGATGAGAGACTCCATGGATGCCTGCTGCTGTCCCCTACTTGTAGATTCTGTGGCAGCGGGGATCCGATGAAAATTGGCCGGCGGAGGGGCGAGCGGCGGCTGGCCGCAATCCAGGATGGCCGAGCGGTGTTCTGTTGGGAGCCACTGTCATCCTTTAGCGTGGCCGAACGGGGGATCATTAAATATAATTGATATTTATCGATCTCGCTGTGCAGAGCAAACACCGGAGTGATCGTCTGATCACTCCGGTGTTAGTACTATGAGTCCCCAGTTATTTACAATGTGTCCCCAGTTATGAATGAACAGGCTGTGATTTACATCACTTCCTGTTTATTCAAAAATGTATGAATGGGGAGTAGCACTCACTACAGAGGCTTCTCCCCATTCATAAACTGGTGATGACTGCTTGAAGTCCGGGGTGCATGAACATCACCAAACATTGGGTTTCCTCCTTTGATACTTTGCCAGGTCTTTACCGCAGCTGTCCTCACTTCTTGTTTGTTCGTGGGTCTTTCTGCCCCAAGTTTTATCTTCAGCAAGTGAAAATCATGCTCGATCGGGTTCAGATCAGGTGATTGACTCAGCCATTGCAGAATATTCCATTTGTTTTTCTCCGGCACATAACACGTTTAGTAGACTGGACTATATGTTTGTTTCTCAGTCATTGTTAGATAGTGCTCTCTCTGCCCACATTGGTCTGTGCCTATGGTCTGACCATGCCCCACTAATTTTTAAGTTAGGTGTTTTTCCTAACAGACGTACTCCCTTATCATGGCAGCTTAATGATACTCTGTTGCAGGATTCCCTGTGCCTACAGGAGGTTCAGAAATCCATTCAGGATTTTGTCACTGACCATGCAGCGGACTCCACCCATCCTTTAACCCAATGATGTAAACTGCGGTATGAGTCGGCTAATAAATGCGGGCACCATTTGACTCCACACGGTAGAACCTATTGTGGTGGGGGACTTAGAGTCTCCTTTCACATCGGAGGAAGTCGAAGTGGCTATCCGTACTCGCAAACCTGGTAAATGCCCTGGACCTGGCTTATATCAGGGCTCAAAATTTCCACTCGCCCTCTCGCAATTGGCGAGTGAAAATCAGGAAAGGAATCTGCCGCCGCTTCAGTCCGTCATCTGCAGTCTTCCTCCGCCCACGTTAGCTGCCATAGGCTGGGAGGAAGACTGCACAGCTGTGATTGGCTGGATGGCAGGACAGTGCGGGACCTGAAGGGAGGCTTCACGTCGGACAGGACAGATCGCTGTACCCCAAAAAAAAACACCAGGAGAAGAAAAGGTCACACCTGCCATGTGCACTGTAAGTCCCTGTTATTTCTGCCTTAAACTGCTGAGCTCTGTGCTGTGCATTCTTGCTGACCACTGCGCCGTGCGTTCCTGCTGACCGCTGCGCCGTGCGTTCCTGCTGACCGCTGCGCCGTGCGTTCCTGCTGACCGCTGCGCCGTGCGTTCCTGCTGACCGCTGCGCCGTGCGTTCCTGCTGACCGCTGCGCCGTGCGTTCCTGCTGACCGCTGCGCCGTGCGTTCCTGCTGACCGCTGCGCCGTGCGTTCCTGCTGACCGCTGCGCCGTGCGTTCCTGCTGACCGCTGCGCCGTGCGTTCCTGCTGACCGCTGCGCCGTGCGTTCCTGCTGACCGCTGCGCCGTGCGTTCCTGCTGACCGCTGCGCCGTGCGTTCCTGCTGACCGCTGCGCCGTGCGTTCCTGCTGACCGCTGCGCCGTGCGTTCCTGCTGACCGCTGCGCCGTGCGTTCCTGCTGACCGCTGCGCCGTGCGTTCCTGCTGACCGCTGCGCCGTGCGTTCCTGCTGACCGCTGCGCCGTGCGTTCCTGCTGACCGCTGCGCCGTGCGTTCCTGCTGACCGCTGCGCCGTGCGTTCCTGCTGACCGCTGCGCCGTGCGTTCCTGCTGACCGCTGCGCCGTGCGTTCCTGCTGACCGCTGCGCCGTGCGTTCCTGCTGACCGCTGCGCCGTGCGTTCCTGCTGACCGCTGCGCCGTGCGTTCCTGCTGACCGCTGCGCCGTGCGTTCCTGCTGACCGCTGCGCCGTGCGTTCCTGCTGACCGCTGCGCCGTGCGTTCCTGCTGACCGCTGCGCCGTGCGTTCCTGCTGACCGCTGCGCCGTGCGTTCCTGCTGACCGCTGCGCCGTGCGTTCCTGCTGACCGCTGCGCCGTGCGTTCCTGCTGACCGCTGCGCCGTGCGTTCCTGCTGACCGCTGCGCCGTGCGTTCCTGCTGACCGCTGCGCCGTGCGTTCCTGCTGACCGCTGCGCCGTGCGTTCCTGCTGACCGCTGCGCCGTGCGTTCCTGCTGACCGCTGCGCCGTGCGTTCCTGCTGACCGCTGCGCCGTGCGTTCCTGCTGACCGCTGCGCCGTGCGTTCCTGCTGACCGCTGCGCCGTGCGTTCCTGCTGACCGCTGCGCCGTGCGTTCCTGCTGACCGCTGCGCCGTGCGTTCCTGCTGACCGCTGCGCCGTGCGTTCCTGCTGACCGCTGCGCCGTGCGTTCCTGCTGACCGCTGCGCCGTGCGTTCCTGCTGACCGCTGCGCCGTGCGTTCCTGCTGACCGCTGCGCCGTGCGTTCCTGCTGACCGCTGCGCCGTGCGTTCCTGCTGACCGCTGCGCCGTGCGTTCCTGCTGACCGCTGCGCCGTGCGTTCCTGCTGACCGCTGCGCCGTGCGTTCCTGCTGACCGCTGCGCCGTGCGTTCCTGCTGACCGCATGACCGCTGCGCCGTGCCTTCTCGCTGACCGCTGCGCCGTGCCTTCTCGCTGACCGCTGCGCCGTGCCTTCTCGCTGACCGCTGCGCGTTCTGACCGCTGCGCGTTCTGACCGCTGCGCGTTCCGCTGACCGATGCGCGTTCTGACCGCTGCGCGTTCCGCTGACCGATGCGCTGCGCGTTCTGACCGCTGCGCGTTCTCGCTGACCGATGCGCGTTCTGACCGCTGCGCGTTCCGCTGACCGATGCGCTGCGCGTTCTGACCGCTGCGCGTTCTCGCTGACCGATGCGCTGCGCGTTCTCGCTGACCGATGCGCTGCGCGTTCTCACTGACCGATGCGCTGTGCATTCTCGCTGACCGATGCGCGTTCTCGCTGACGGGTGCGCCGCGCGTTCTCGCTGACGGGCGAACCCGTCGTTCTCGCTGACCGCTGTGCCGCGCGTTCTCGCTGACCGCTGCGCGTTATTTCTGCCTTACACCGCTGACTTTTGAACTGTGCGTTATTTGCTGACCTCTGTACTGTGCTTTATTACTGACCTCCTTACCGCTGACCTCTGGACTGTGCGTTACATTACTGAACTCTGTGCGTCATCCTGCTGACCTCTGTACATTTCTGCAGTGTGGGACCTGAAAGGAGGCTCAACTACGCTGCTGGAGGCTTCACCTTGTTACATGGAGGCAGCATTGATGAACCTCCCCCCAACACCCCCACCAGGAGAGGAAGAGAGCACCTGAATCAGATCAACTGTGCACTGTAAGTCCCTGTTTTTTTCTGGGTAAAGGTGCCCATGCACCTGACGATTATCGTACGATAATCGCAGATGATCCCGCAAAGTACGATAATCGGCAGGTGTATGGGCAGCGTGTGGCTGCATCTACTGTATGGTCACACGACATTCGTCTTCCAAGCACTCTGGAAAACCTGCCAAAAATCGTACGATTTTCGGCGGGTTGGTGGCATGCTCAGAAGACGAAAGCCGTACGGGCTGGTGTGCGCAAGTGCACACTGCCCGCTCAGCAGTACAATCATCAGCAAGCCCTGCCCTCCGCGGGGAGGACTTGCAATGACCACAAGTACGATCTGCCTGTCCAAGATGGGCAGATCGTAAAAATGTTTAATTACCTTACAACCATCGCACAACGAAAGTCGTGCGATGGTTGTAAGGTGTATGGGCAGCTGACCTCTGCACTCCGAGTTACATTACTGACCTCTGTACTGCTGACCTTAGTACTGTGCATCACACCGCTGGCCTCTGGACTCCGCATTGTAACTGATCTCTGTACTCTGTCACACCACTGACCTGCCGGAGTTAAGTACGGGGCAGGGTAGGGGTTAGGTGGGGCAACTGGTGGCGAGTAACTTTTAGGGCCTGGCTAGTAGCTCAGGACTTGAAATTTTGAGCACTGGCTTATATTATCTCGCCTATATTAGCCCGCACGTTTAATTCAGTTAACAACTCTCAACTCTCTTCCACTCTACCATGTTGGCAGCAAATATATGTGTAATTCCCAAACCCGGCAAGGACCCTCTCTATCAAAACTATCGCCCAATCTAGTTACTCAATGTGGACATCAAATAGTTTTTTAAAATTATTGCTCTCTGTTTCTACTTCTCCTTGCCCTTTCTAATTAATACTAAGACTGGGCACACACCTTACAACCATCGCGATTATCGTACGATTTATCGTGAGGTGTGTGGGGACCTTTAGCAAGTAGGGTTTGTCCTCGGTTGGGAGGCTAGGGATAACGCTACTAAAACAATTCATCTGATCTCTCACATCCACAAGCATAACGCTCGAGCCTGCTTATTATCTATTGACGCTGAAAAGGCCTTTGACAGAGTGGATTGGTGCTTCCTTCGCCTTGCTCTGCCCCAAATCAGTTTAGGTCCCAACATCATGTCTGAAATCATGTCTCTCTATTCCTCTCCAACGACCCATGTTATGGTAAATGGCAGCTTTTTGGACCCCTTTCCAATTTCAAATGGTACTAGGCAGGAGTGTTCCATATCCCCTCCCCCTTTAGGTCATCTTTATGGAACACTCAGCACAGTCTATTCGCTCCAATCCTGATATTCATGGAATTCGTACGTCCTCCTTTCATCACAAAATTTTCCTATATGCGGACAACTTGCTTTTGTATCTCACTCGCCCTCACATTAGCGTCCCCGCGTTATTATCCGAGTTTCAAAGCTTTGGCAGGTTTAGTAATTTCAAGGTTAACATGTCCAAATCGACGGCCTTGAATCTCACTCTCCCCCCTCGCCCTTCTAAAACAAATTTTCCCCTTTCAGAGGCAATTTAAATCTATCGCATATCTGGGGACAGTGATTCCATCAAACCTGTCAGACCTTTACGCGCTAAACTCCCTTTTCTTACGTCTTTGTGTCCTGCCTTCGATTCTTACTCTTCTCATGCGATCTCATGGTTTGGCAAAATTGGCACTCCCGAAACTGTTATATTTTTGTGCTCTTTAGTCATTTGCTTTTTTTGGAAAAGGGGCTACTCACGCTTGTGATATAAAACTCTTTGTAGACATAAGTCGCGCGGTTGAATGGGTATGCCTGATTTTGAGCTCTATCATTGCGCGGCGCTCAGCCCGGATGCTGGACTGGTTTCCATCCTGTCCAAACCTTCGGTGCTTATTGAACAAGAGTTATGCCCCATGGACTTTAGGGCCCTTCCGTAGTGTCCCCCCTTTGATTCAAGCGCTCAGTTTCAGTCCTCTCCTCTTACCATGGCCTCATTACGAATCTGGCACTCTTTAAATATCAAACATGAATTTGTTTGATATTTAAATACCAGGCCCTCTATCTCCCCTGTTTGATAACGCGACACTACCAGTTAGTATTGCTGTTTCCTCCCTCGGTGGACGCACTAGATGTGATTGGCCTACGGCGAGAAATTTTGTTAGTCCCTCCACTGGGTGATATGTTGTTCCGGAGGCAGGCTCATCCACGCTCACCGCTACTTAGCTCCTGGATATTCAGTTGTCTGATTTTTGTCGAACCCTGTCCAAATCTGGGCAGATTCATGGACCTTTGACGCACTTTGAAAGTTTGGTCACCTCCACAGAGCCTGTACGCAATACACTGTCAGTTATACAGTATACGGGATGCAATGGGAAGCTCTCCAACAGCCACTGCTGACTTTCCAGACCCAGTGGCATTTTGATCTAACCAAATGTTTATCGGACTCAGACTGGGATACCATTTATTGTTTTACTCATAAGTCTTCCGTTTCCTCGTACGCCCAAGAGAAGAACTATAAGATTCTCACCAGGTGGTATAAGGATCTGGTGTCTCTTCATCGTATCTTCCCTGACTCTCCAGAGGTGTGCTGGCGATGCAAAGCGGTAAGTGGCACCTACACACATATTTGGTGGGGCTGTCCCTTGATCTTTTTGTTTTGGGGAAAAAAAAATTGGGATTTTACAACCATCTGCATGGGGACACATTGCACACTTCTCCTGAAATAGCCTTGCTGTCCCATCTACCGGGCCCGCGGACCGCTCAAAGAAATAGCTTATTTAAACATATTTTGGCCGCAGATCGACAAGTTATTCCCCTCTTTTGGAAGCAAGCGATAACCTCTCCCTTCTCTCTCTGGGTTAGTCATGTTAACGACATCATGAGGATGGAGAAACTCATGGCCACCGATACTGATACTTTTTCCAAATTTATGACCCAATGTTTTGTGTGGCTGCATTGTTCGACCTCACAGGAGCTCCACTGATTTTTATAAGTTACCAAGTCTTGCCCTGGAACCCTAGTTCACTGATTTCTCTACAGGACCTTGCAGCCTGTAATTTCCCAGGATCAGATTAGATCCCCTCTTTTACTGTCTCTTCCCTTTTCCTATTTCTGTTTTCTTCTTTGGTCTCTTTCTTGGTAGGCCCCTCTCGGCCTCACCCTATCCTGTCTTAAGGTGCCCATACACCTTACAATTATCTGCAGATTTTCTGTGGTCAGATGGAAAAAGTGCAACAGATTGGCCCAGGTGGAGATTACTCCATCCACACAGTTAAGTGTAGATGGAGGAATCTGTTGCACCTTTTCCATCTGACCACAGAAAATCTGCAGATAATTGTAAGGTGTATGGCCAGCTTTACTCTTCCCTTTGTCAGGCCAATTACTTCCACCCACTCGCCAGACAGTGGCGGTTATTTCCTCACACTAATTATCGTCCCCATCATATCTTTTACTTTGGATGTGTTACATGCTCACACAGGGACTTGGTTCTGGCCTCTGACCTAGTTCTCCCTCCCTCCTTTTATTGTCTATGTCTAATGATACTAGTTTAGTCTGAGCTCGGTCTCCAAATATGTGCAATATATTGTATACTTATTTGATCAACTGTGGTTTCATATGTTGTCACTACTGGACCAATGTTTTATGTTTTACACTCTCACCAGTAATGTTCTTCTGTGGTATTTTGTGTTTTTCAATAAAAATGATTCAACTCTAAAATAGGTGTTATCCCAACTTGGCTGCAAAAGTAAAAATACACCATGCTCAGTGTTGACTTCACACATACAGCCATAGCATAGCACAATACTGACTATTGTCTTTGACATAGTTTGCTTTGGTTTCGTGTCATATCCTAACTTTTTTTTTTACTTAATTTTTTTCAGAGGATCGTTATGAGTGTCCAACTGCACTGGGCAGAAAACCCACATTTAAGATCTCTTCTGCTGAGGATGAAGGATCCCTGCCTGTATTGACATCATTAGGGACAGGCTATATTGGGTTAATTTACTAAAGGAATAGAAGTTATTTTCTTTACTGAACCTCTATTCCTTTAGTAAAGCCAATGACTAGCTACATAACCTGCAGTTGAACTACAAACTGAATTTATAAAAATGTGTCAAATAATGCCTAAAGTGTCATTTATTTTTATGCAATAAAGGTTTTTGTACCCTCTTCACCAAAATATTGGAAATCCTTTTAAAGTGACCTTGGCAATGCCATGTTTTCGTTAATGTTAACGGTCACATCTTAAATTAAGTCCATGCTGTAAAAGAAGATAATTTATACTTGCCTTACCTGTCTCTTCAAACTTTGCCAGTCCCCAGCCATTGCAATTATCCAACACTGGGTGTGTAAATACCTGCACCTACCAATGGCTTTTATATCGTTACAGGACACATTCGGAATTCATTCAAATTAACAGGTTTCATTGGCAAGTTGTGATTCTTCACCTCATCCAGTTTGCTACTTTTATTAGTAAACATTTCCTGTGAGAAACATGGAGGCTAGCCACCTTCTGAAAATACTGAATATGAAAGTTTGAGGTTGAACAGATATCCCCCTCTTTCATACTGAAGAATTCTCTTCTAGGTTTAGAGGTTCTGAAAAATACCTCTATGTGGTTTGACATGCTTAATCTTCAGCTTTGTCTACCAAAATAAAAAAAAAAACTTTTTAGAGCAAAGGTGTGACTATCCAAAAATGTGAAAATGCAAAAAAAAAGTAATTTATAAGCCAAAAATGCATTGCAGGATATTTATCAAAACTGGAGCAGACAAAATCTGGAGCAGCTGTGCATGGCAACCAATCAGCTTCTCGCTTTCATTTTCAAATCTTAACTGAAGAGAGAAGCAGATTGGTTGTGGTACCCAGCTGCTGCAGTTTTATCAAATTCCCCTCTTTAAGGGTTATGCAAGTACAAGGTAAAATATCTACCCATGTTTCCCCGAAAATAAGACACTGTCTTATATAATTTTTGCCCCCAAAAAAAACACACTAGGTCTTATTTTCAGGGGATGTCTTTTTTTTACTGTGCAACAAAATGTACAACAATCTAAAGTTATTCATGTACAACAATCTAAAGTTATTCATGAATAACAATCCAAAAGTTATCTGGCATCACTCCGCCTGTCACAGTAACTGGCGCTATAGAGGAAGTATCTGCTAATGCGGCTCTGCTCCCTCCGCCGCCTTGCTTTCTACAGCGCTGGCTTCCTTTCCCATCAGGGACAGCGGTGCAGCAGTGGGGACATCAATCAGTGGACAGCGTGGTAAAGTACGGTACCATTTTACCGGTACACATTACAGTACCAATACATTAAGCAGTGCCTTCAGTGGGACAGCAGTTGGTGAAGTATGGTACTGGAGTGCTCCCTGTCACTGCGCTGGCTAGAGGGAGTCCCCTGTCATGCCCTTATTACAGTATGTCCCTGCAGGCTGATACCATCTCTCCTGCTCTTCAAGTTCCCCCTCACATGCTACCATCAAACGGTCTTATTTTCGGGGTAGGTCTTATATTACAGGAATCTTGAAAAATAGTGCTAGTCTTACTTTCGGGATAGGTCTTATTTTCAGGGAAACATGGTACATTGACCTGTTTATGTCATTATCAACGTTAATCCAATACTGCAGAATAAGATCACATAACTTCTTTCTTGAGAGGCATAGGAACTCTTTCACCTTTTAGGTTATGTTACCACCACCACCAGCACGAGGAGGATTGGACCCTGGCAAACAAAATAACTTTAGGCCAGTCAAAAATAACCCCTCCTCCTACCAGCATGCCTCAACACAGAGTAGTCAGTTCTGCTGTTGTTCGATGGTTATAGAACCTGACTGGTCATCAAAATCCTCCTTACCTTTCATGGGTAGGGCTGAGCCCCCCTGCCTTGTTCCTTACTACAGACTTTGTGGCCTAATTTATCCAGTTCCTTGCTGGTGCTGACCATAGAGGCATTAAGCATGGTCATACGTCTTACCCTGCAGCTTCTGTGGCTGATCTCCCTGCTGCCCTTGCTGATTCTAAGCCATTGATTGCAGTTACCGCTTCTGACTCTGATCCTAAGTAGTAATGAGTCTGGGCTTTGTGTAAACCCAGCTTGGTTTAGATTACCCAAGCCCTTTTTAAAACTCTCACTACCACCCCCCTCCTCCTAGTCAAATCAGTTGTGGAGGTGTATTCCTTGCTATATGTCACAAAGAGGTCAGCCACTAATTGGGCCAGGAGGTGGGACAAGAAGTCACAGGTTTCAGTGGGCTTAGGCGAACTGGGTTCCCACCAAGCCCAGGCTCATCTCTAATCCAGAGTTAGTCCAATCTCTGTATGTCAGACTTATGCTTGAGTCATCCGTCTTCTGCTATTACTATAGATTTTGAAGAGTAATTGTAGGCTTTTATTGATGTGTTGCGCACTACTCTGAAATTGGGGGATCAGCCAGCTATCCTATTTTCCAATTATAGTTTGTGAATTCTACATTATGCTAATAATTACCTTATCTCAGTTTTTACAGGGCAGCAGGAACTCTAATCCTGTCACATGAGATCAGATGATGGGTTTTAGTCAAATTCTTTTATGTTACAAAATTGTCTTTTTTAAATAAAAAAAAAAAAGGTAAGAAGTCTTTGTAAACATGTCCCCTATATGTGCTGAGAATACTAGCCAACACTGTTTCGAATGTAACAGCCTAAAAACTTTAGTGTTGGGTGAGATCTGGTCTTTTGTATATGCTAAGCTTTTTCTGCAGCAGCATGTTTACATGCAACAGCTTCTATCCCAGGGGTAGGCAACCTCGGCACTCCAGCTACTGTGGAACTACAAGTCCCATGAGGCATTGCAAAACTGACAGCTACAGGCATGCCTCCTAAAAGCAAAGGTATAATGAGATTTGTAGTTTTAGAACAGCTGGAGTACTGAGGTTGCCTACCCCTGCTTTGTCTGGTGCTTGGATTATGCTGTTCTCCCTCCTTTCCCCAGCTATTACAGCTACATCACTGATTTTTGTATCGGTTTTAAAAGTAAAGACTAAAAGACAAAGTTGGAACCTGCAAAATATGTTCGCTTAAACTAATAGGTAAAGTACAACACAGCTGAAACAACAAACAATACCCACACAGGAAATCCCACTCATTTTTATTGAGGTATTGTAGCAAGTGCAAAATCCAGTCCTGCCAAGGCATACCTGAAGCACAAGTCTCTGAACAGACGGGGACAAACATTGGTTCATGCGTGACAAAATGTGTTTTTAAATGCCATATTCTGCCTAGTGCAAAATTGAGCATTGTGTGGAATTGAGACTTAAAACACAATGCCCCAAATCCCCCACCATAAAATGGACAACCTTCTTGGCCTATACCCACCACCCATGTTCTGGGATGCTCCTGAAAATCCATGTAGTATGGTACAGACATGCATTCTACCCTCCTCCCACAGTGCAGCACTTCTACCTAAGCAGCCAGTATATCCCATGGGTAGCTCACAGCAGAATGCAGAAATGGACTTTCAGGGAAAATCTGTTCGTACAGATCTTGGTGGGTTGTGATAAGTATGGGCCATCAAGGTTGGGTAAGGAGGAAGAGGGGGGAGGGGGGGTGTTGAAGTACAGGTGTACTAAACACAATTAATGGGAAAAATATGGTCTCAAAACACATTTCAGTAAATGTAAACCAATGAGTAAAGGAATGCAAGTCCATACATAAATCATAGCTGACGAGAAGAAACAAAAACACCTTTAAAATCAACATACATGTATAAAATTAACATAGATAAAATATGGAAGGTCTGTCTGACCTCTTCACATTAATAAAACAGGAGTTGGTAGGTATTGTGTAAGTTGGAAATAGTTAAGAGAATACACCTCACGGATTCTCTGAGCTACCACAGAACCCTAGACAACCAATAGGTGGAATATTGATTCAGCTGTCAAAGTGTCTACCTTCACTTTGTGCTAGTTATATGTACACTTCAAAGCCCAACTGAACCTTTTAGTTTAATTTCGTTAAATACATTCTAAGCACTGTACATCAAAACAGAAGGTGTTCAATGTCTTGCAGTTCATTTTCTTTCTAAAACAGCTACTGTCTGAGTAGAAAAGCCTGGCCCCTGCCAGTATGCTGCAGAGAAGGACCCTTGTTCTATATGCTGAAGCAGTAGTCTTGTTGCGAGTACCTACCCCGCCCCCTTCAAAGTCAAACCTATAGTCCCGCAAACTGCATGCTCCCTGCTGATTGCGCTGGCTCTTAGCAGGGGGTGTGTTAACTCTGATAGGCTTTTCTACTCAGAGGCTTTTAGAAAGAAAATAAAAACCTTGTAAGACATTGAACACATTTGTTTTGATGCCCCTGGAATGTATTGAACTTATTTAAACTGAGGGTTCAATTGGGTTTTGAAGTGTCAGTCCATTCAAAACTGATTTTTTTCAACTCTGTTTTGGGATGATGGGCCTTCAGCAGTGATTCCTACTAGAGTTATTCTCTTAGTCTCAGCCCAACCAGCAACATGGAGTCTGAATTTTGTGCAGCATCAGTTTTGAGTAGACTGACCTTCAAGAAAAAAATGGAATGATATTTGGAACAAAAATAAAGGTTCGCCACGGTTCAGCTTAGTTAAGCAAATATGTCTCAAATGCCGTCAGTATGCATTGTACCCCTTTTCCGACAAATCTAAAATTACACATACTTCTCTAGTTGTGGAATGTTGGCCTTCTAAAAATCATGAAGCTAGTTGTGGAATGTTGGCCTTCTCAAAATCATGAAGCTACTATGAGATCAGATTTGCAACACCAGTCCTGCAGCAGATATATTGTCTCCTCCACCTGCTGTCTGGAAAACTTCAGTACAGACTAAGACAGGTGCTAGACAGATCTCGTAAGTGTCCTCTTCCCAACAAGACACAGGACGGTTTTCCTTAAAAGGTATCCTCTGGCTGCCATCTTCTCTGCTGATTGAGAAAGAATCATCCATGATGAGTTTAGCCTTGCCAGTGTCAATATGTGCAGAACCACACACATGTCTATTAGCAGTAAGAGATGCTTTTGCTGTAGCAGACATCGTGTTCTTCCACATAGAGCCTTTGGTCACCATCATAGCTTGAAATGCTATTGTATGGACATGTAGCCGGGTCAGCCTCCTCTCACCCTCTTTAAGTTCCCTGGATCCAAGCAGCTGATAAAGTTCACGCATTTGGTCAAGAATGGAAGCCACACGTGGATAAGGGTCAGATAAGACTGTAATGTTACCCCCTTTAATTAAACTGAGGAGATTTGGAAGTTCTTGCTCATTCATTCCCAAAGAATCAGAATAGGGTATGACATACTCTATCAAGTCCCTCATGAGGTTTTGCTCCACAAAGGATGCCATCTCAAAGTGGCAACCTATCTTTTGGTCCATGGACAACACCATTTCTTGAATCGCCTTCAATCTTGCTTCACGCTGACCTAAACAAATAGTCACAGAAGTTAAATCACAAAGAATAAACACAAAAAAAAAATCAGCAGAAAATAAATTCGGGCCAAGAAGGTAATTTTATGATTTATTTAAAAAAAATATGTCAGACTACATAAAATATATGACTGTGCTGGATTACACCTTTTGCACCCCCCTCATGTTTATATGGTTAAAACTCATTATTGTTTTGCCTTATACCCTTGCATTGCAAAGTGTTGGCTGCATTCATACCTCTTCTTTTTAGGCACATACATTTTCTATCTAAATAAATGAAAACACTTGAAGACACGTTGCAGTGCACTTTTTATTGCACATCAGCACACATTTGTGAGAATCAACATATGTTTTATGCAGGTTGACATTTTTTTTTATATCAATAGAAATGCATAGGTGTGAATTCAACGTCAAGGGAAAGCAATATTTTTTTTGCAGCATCAACCTCTATACAGACTTTGAGGAAAGGCAGTGAGTCCATTCAGGAAACTGAGGATTTTCTGGAATCTTGTACTCCATACTCAGCACTCTAACCATTGGTACTTGAAGACTTCAACAACACCACTAAATGCTCTAACAAATGCTTTGCAAAAGCTTTCTGTATAGTGTATACAGAAAGCTTTTGCAAAGCATTCAGCTTGTATGAACCAGTGTGGTTCATACAAGCTGAATGTCAAAAAGAGTTGTGAAAATTTTAGGGCTGCAACAACTAATCGACATAATCGATTATTGAAAAAGTTGTCAATGGAATAGTCTTACACAATAACTGGTTTTCAATGACTCTAGTTTAAAAAGCACATCAAATATATGGCTACTAATACTTATTAGAAATAACATTGTACAGTACATTAAGAATGTTCTTTTCTGTTAAGGCAAACGTATCACAATTTTTGCCTTTCTTTGGTTAAACAGCAGGGTTTAGAGTACCGACTAATAGACGTGCTGTTACTGTAACACGTTACATACGTTGGTGTAATGCAGTGCCATTTATTCTGTATGTGACCCCAATACACCTTGCCAATAAACATGCGTTTTGGTGCACTGCAAACAAAATGCACTTTTGGTGTAATAGGCAACCCATTTAAATGAATGCACATGAACAGCACAATGGTGCGAACCGCCCTTAAAATCAAGCAGAAAGTAATAATTTTCATAATTCATAGCTGCTCACAATGTTTGATGACAAAATCACATCTAAAAAATGCCATAGGGTATAAAGTGCAGGCACCTAGTGGTGCCTTTTATATGTACAGCAGCTTCCAAGACCATGGCTCTTTGGCAGCATCCTGGGCAGTTCTGATGAGCAACACTTCCTGGTAGTGTTAAATCTTGCTGGTTCATATATCATACTCTCCTACTGGCCTATCACTATAATCAGTTGTCTTATTAGCCAAAAGGATTGTGCAAAAGGCAGGCAAGCTTGAACACTACTGGGATGTGCCAAAACTTTGCCCATTATTACGGCTCGAAATCTGACTGTAGCTGCAATGTTTTGGAGGCTGCTGTAGATATATGAAGCCACCTCCAAAGAGTTACTTTAACCTCACCTGGTTTGAAGGGGAAACTATCCATCATCTGTAGCCCACCAATCACAAGAAGATCAGGCATAAAACTTTCCAGTTGTGATCTAAAATCTTCCAAAGAGTCAATCATGGGATTGTGAGAGTCACTGTGTACGATATACCTGTCAAAAATAAAATAATTTCAACTAAAAGAAAGCTCCTACCCTACTGTCTGTACCAGGAACGTGCCCTGCGGCATCTTGAAGATGAGCGTAATAGTCTTCTAATAACCTCCATGTCATGACAATATTTCTCCTTAAGCTGAAAGCAAGTTGTTGGGAAATCTGCAGGCATAATACATCTGAATTTTGATCCATATTAGTTTTCCTTACACAGATGAAAACACATTAGGGGAAATTAATCAAAACCAGAGTGGACAGAATCAGGAGCAGTTTCCATAGTAACCAATCAGCTTCACTCTTCAGTTTGTTGAGAGCTGATCAAAATGAGAGCCTCAGATTTTATTTGCTCCAGTTTGGATAAATTCCCCGCATTAGGTACTATTTCAGTAAAATGTATAAATGGTAATGTTGGTTCATAAGAGAGAATACTGGCATAAATTGCAAGGATGCAAAAGGCCAAACCCTGTTAATATTATGTTGTTGGCATAAAGTGTTCATTGTTTCATAGCTGGACCTTCTGCTATGTGATTTGCATTAATCTTTTTATTACATAGTGCACAATAAGCAGCAATACCACACTTCTAACTGGGAACTGGAGTTGATTTAATGATAGGAGTAAAGACACTTTGCAGTCAAAAGCCAGTCACTATTCTTTTACTAACTCAACTTTAGGCCTGGTTCACACTAAGTGTGTTGTAGCACTTTTTCTGCCTTAAAAAAAGCTCAAAAAATATGCCCCCCCCCCCCCCCCAAAAAAAAAATCTATTTATTTATATGGAACTGTTAACATCGGAGCATTTTGTCACAATAAGCAAAGTGCCTGTTGCTGGAAAAAGTACATGAGCTTTTTTTTTTGCATATTACACAAAAATGCTGTTGCCTAGGTGTAAACCCAGCCTTAGGGTCTAATAATAAATAACCATGGAGTTTAACTGAAGATAGTAATACAAATCACCTGTTGGCTCTTCGAGAGATGTGGTCTCCCCATCTGGCACCAGTTGGATATTCCATAATAAGGTGGATGTCAGCATCTTCTACTGGCTCACCAGCAACTGCAAGTGGACACACAGTTAAGTATGCAAAGTGGACTTAGCATCAGTTATATTTTGTCGTATTAAGTTGAACTCCAGTGAAATTGTTTTAGGCATGTAAAACATAAGTTACTGCTAATAAAAATTATCCTAGGGCTGGCTGCCGTTTACTATAAAACTCCATCCTGCTTTGACGCTGGATACTCCACGCAGCACTGATCTTGGTCTGTACTGGTGTTGGGGTGGTGACAGGTAGTGGCCGGGACAGTGAAGGGTTTTGTCCTCCACTCCCTCTCCTCTTGTCCATTCAAAAAAAGCCCTGTATTTTTTCACAGAATACGAGGCCTTTTGTGAATGAACGAGCAGAGACGAAGGGCGGATGAATGACAGAATCTTTCCTCAGCCAATCACATGATGCCTTGTATTCCGTGAAAAGAGTGGTGCCACAAAATTACAATTAACTGCTCTCTGCAGCATTCTCCTGTGAGTCCAAGGCGGGGGCAGAGCCATGATGCTGTGGCCTTACAGAAAGTGAGATGAATGATACTGGGCATCATTCAACCAAGAGGAAGATAGGCACTGGATCGATAAGCGGTAACTCTGTAGGGGACAGTGGCATAGAGTAAGAGTACAGCAGCTGGAAAGATCCAGGTCTTTGGTTTTTGCCCAATCTGGGATTTGGATTTAAGAATATGCTTATTTAGTTGATTGACAATTGCTCAAAGTCAGTTAGTCTGTAATTTGTTAAAACCGATGTCAGGAGTGTCTGTGTGGTCTTTGAGAACATAGGAGATTATGACATTTTTAACAGATAAACAGGAACTGACAATATAGGACTTCCTGAAATTCCATCCAGTTTGCTGATTTGCAACACTCAAGTGAGCTAAGCTTGTCTAGCACAGTCATGTTATATTTATGGTTTTAAAGCTAAGGCAACTCCAGGCAAGCACATATTATACATAAAGGATCATTGTTTCACCTGCAAAATTATTTCTTACACTAAAGTTTTGTGATTCTTGCCAGACTGCACAGCTAGATGCTCAACCTCAACTGCAGAAGACCATCTGGGTCAAGAACCCTGTTAAAAGCACACCCTTATTCTACTCACTGGTCAAGTCATCACTCAAGTTACTCCTATCTTTCCGTTTACTGCCAGAACAAGGGCACTGCTGCAAAGTCTTATGGCTCCAATGGTATATAAAGTGTATTTCCACTTTTGCAGCCAATCTGGGATAACAACTATTTTATATTTGTTACATTTTCCCATTTACATTGCAATCATTTTTTTTTAGCTTATGCTGTTTAAATTTTACTTTAGGGTTAAAGTTCTTTAAGGGTTCACATTTATTTTTGCTTCTCTTTCTTTGAAATGTTAGGAGGCACTGTGAGGGATGAGGGGGTCTGAGGTGGCTTGTCCATTGTATGTTAATGAAGCTTATCAGATTAAAACAACCATCAATTTTCAGTTCTAAGCCTTTCCATTTGGACAGATCACTGAAGGGGCTGAGAAAAACCTGGAACCAGCCATCTTGCCTGCAGTAACAAAACATCTAAAAAAGGTGAGAAATGTTTTTAAAAGTTATTTCTCAGTATGCTGTGTGAATACATAACAAGCATACAGAGGGGTTTTCTCAAATTTGCAAAATTAGAAATACATTTATGAAACACACCAAGGGAAGTAATCTCTCATCTCCTGCAGCTCTGCTCAAAAGCAAGGCAAATGTGCAAAGATTTTGCCACAAAAGTTTCATCGTGAAACTGACGATCAGGTCAGCTCAGTCCCCTGGATCAAAATATTTTGCTTTTATGAAATAGAACTCTAGATATTATGAGATGCACAAAAATAGTGTCCTTTTGTTTTACTGTCATTATTGACTTTGATATTACTGCATCATGTGGTAAAGCATTCCACAGCATAACCACTCTAATTATAAACTATTCTAAACTGTGGGGATAAATAGTCTTTCTTCCATGTGTAACTGATGTCCCCTTGTCACGTGTACAGTTCCTGGGATAAAATGTGCATTTGCAAAATTATAAATCACTCTTTATCCCAATGTCTTCAATATATCTGAACTAGTAAACTAGCCTAGCTTATTCCTGTAGCAAGCAACAGCTGTTATTACTTCCTACAAGGAGAAGTGGTCAGCAAGGTTCCATAGATCAGTTCCTATTGACATGGCTCGCCCCCCTGAACTATATCTCCTAAGAGAACATAACTAGTTGCAAATCAGGCTCCTCTGCTTTAGGGTTAGTTTTCACACCACATGCAGTCTGTTTAGTTTGGCTGCTGCAGCCAAAATACATTGCAATGCTTTCCTATGGGATTTCTTGTGCTGTATTCACGTTGCGGTCCGTTCAGATGCAGTCAGAAAAAATGCTGCTCGTCCTGTTTTAGCTGCATCGGATCGCACCGGAGCGCAACGCTACGCATCCGAAAACAAAAACACAGAACCGATTGTGTCATCATCCAGGGACTTCCTCTTTGTAGGTAGATGCTGACATATTTTTAAAATATGTGGGAGGACTGTCCACTGCTCTATGATCCCAAGCATCCCAACTATAAAAACAATCGGCAGAAGATGGGAAAGTGGAGGGAGATAACTGCCAAGCTATACCTGGATTGTCTAATTAGCATTTTAGTAAAAAAACAAACAAACAAAAAAAACGCATCAAAACTCATCACAAACGCATCAAAACGGATCGCAATTCAACAGCGCAGACGCTCGCAGTTTCTGGTGTGAACAAACCCTTAGGAAAATCTTTGCAACAGATTTTTAGCCCTGCGCGTCTGAATTCCTGGGCAGCCAAGTGCAACAGTTTGCAAAGTTTTAAGACAGAGTTATTACCAACGATGCAACAGATTTTCACTGTAAGCCGTCTCATAATTGAGAAGTGGTCATTGCCAGGTTTTATTCTGTTCCAATGCTACTTCAGAGCAGCTGAGGAAGGAATTTGTGACTTATGTTGTAACCTTATAATAAATCTGTCTCATTGATCCTGTTTAGCACTGCTTTGCCATGCAACAGAATTCATAAAATGTCATCCACTTAAGACCTACACCTACATTAATTCCCTAAGCTCCCCCTGCCTCTCTGCTGTAGTTTAGGGCACCAGTTACATTTCAGGAAATACTACCTTGAATGTCCTAGATTTTTTTAGGGATGCACTGGTATAGATACTGGTATCTGCCAATACCAAGTACTCGCCAAAATGCTCCGATACTTCCGGTCAGAGAGAGAGATCTCCCTCTGACCGGCATTGCTGTGAAGGAACAGGAAGCTGGCTTCACTTATTGCTAGGCAGCCTGGCTTCCTGACCAATCAGGAAGCTGGGTTGCACATCATGACCTGCCGCCTGGCTTCCTGATTGATGAGGAAGCCAGGTTCCTTCGCATCATGAAGCCAGGCTGCTTCGCATCATGAAGGCGGCTTCCTAGCCAAGCAGGAAGCTGGGAGGCGGGTCATGACGTGCCTCCAGGCTTCATGATTGGCTAGAAAGCCAGCTTCACTTCTTGCTAGACAACCTGGCTTCCTGACCAATCAGGAAGCCGGGTGGCAGGTCATGTTCCCCCGCCCGCTTCCTGATAATCAATATTGGTATTCGGTATCTGCGAGTACAAAAAAAATACTTGTACTCGATACTGAAAAACCAACATCGGTGAATGAATTTTATCACCTAATTTCCTAGAATTTTGGTGGTCCTTTCACCTTCACTTAACTTTGTTACTGTTGGCAATGTATACCATTACCAATACATGATATGTCTAACTTGAACACCCGGAAGCAACATTCTGCATTCCCTGTCCTGGAGTAGAGGGAGGAAGAAGCTGTGGGTGCAGGTCTTGGGAGCCTGCAGGAGCAGGGGTCAGGTAAGTAAAAGTCCTCTACACCATACACTTAGACAAAAATTAGTAGTTAACTCTTGCAGTGCATGGGTAGCACCACTGCTTGTAGAGATTGTTGAAATGTGTCAAACATATTGCTAGTTGCAAGCATTAGTAACATTGAATTGAAGTGCCCCATTTTGACACCTCGGTGTGGGCCTTATTGTTTCATTCAATAGATCCTATCATTCTATGGGACTATGGCTACACTACCGGCAGGGGTTGCAGTTTTTTAGTGTGTTCTGCCTGATCCCTTAACCCCAAAAAACAAACAATACACACATTTAAAATGAGCAATACCACATCTGTAATGTGGTTCTTGTTTTCATGTGGTTTATGTTGAACATGACAGACTAACAATTCATCATATAACCTCACCTTTGATGCGCTCAGATAACACACTAGCTTCTTCTTGACTCAGACGACCCCCTAGTAGAACATCACATCCTTCAGCAGCTAAGCGGTTTGCCATGACTGGAGCATTCCCACCCAGAGCCCAGCGCATTTCAGGAAGTCTTTTAGAGGCATCTACAAGCTTGGTAAACAATGTCTCGTTGGACACATACCTCCTGTTACAATAAATAAGTATACAATTATTTTTTTTAGCTCTGTTACAGCTCAGGTGTCTTTAAAGATATGCAACACTCAATAGCACCATTATCATTTTGCTGTTAAATATCTCAAGGTTACTAAATGAAGGTTATACAAAAAGCATTAAGTAAGATTACGAAATTGTAGGGCCTACTAAAAAAATAAATAAATAGTTAATGCTAAATTTAAAATCAAATACACGCCAGTCTGAAAGTTTACAAATCACATTACCGTATATACTCGAGTATAAGCCGAGTTTTTCAGCCCATTTTTTGTGCTGAAAAATGCCCCCCCTCGGCTTATACTCGAGTCAGCGTCTCGAGCACTGAGGAAAGTGGTCAGGTTTCTTCTTACTTACCTCGCCGAGCGTCACTGCTGCTCTGGTGGGCGGGGCTCCAAGGGGGGTCATCTGGCAGTCTCCGGGTCCTAATTTAGGTGGCCGGAGACTGCCAGATGACCCTGCTCGGAGCGCCGCCCACCGGAGCAGCAGTGACGCGACGCGACGCTTGGCGAGGTAAGTAAGAAGTAGAGCTGCAGCTAACGATTATTTTCAAAATCGATTAGTTAGCCGATTATTAAGTTCGATTAATCGGTTAATCGGATAAACACAAAAAAAAAAAATCAAAAATGGCTCCAGTGATGGGACTACTAGTTTGTATTGAGATTGTAGTCCATCACAGGAGCAAGATTGGAGCGGTGGAAAAAAATAGTGTGGTGTGCAATATAAGAGTCAATACTTTTTCCCAGTTTTTTTGTGGTAAAATTAGGTACCTCGGCTTATATTCGGGTCGGCTTATACTCGAGTATATACGGTATCTAGTAAAAAAATATATTCATAGCTCCTCAAATACAATATTTTGCTTAACATGATAATTATAAAATTAAAAGTTCTTAGTCACTGAAATAGAAAAAAAAATTACATACTATGTTAAATCTAAAGACTGGCCACAGCCTGGCTGTCCAAAGAGTGTTTTAGGTGCACAGTAGCAGTTTCAGTGTAGCAGTTTCATTATACAGAAATGTAAAGTCTACTATGAGTAATATTTTTATGAATATTCTAGTTTGTCTGGCTTTTCAGCTGATCCTGTGACCTTAATACTTTCTGATCTGCCATCTTTTGCACTACACTCTAAATTTCCTAATCTTCATACTTGTTCAAAGTCAGCTACTCCGAAAAGTACTAAAGCTAGAGGGTCAGCCACAAAATTAGCATTTTCCGAAAGAGGTCAGCAATGGCAGGCTAAATATTTCTCTCAATACTGCTTTCCTTTAAAATATAAAAATGTATGTAAACCTTTAACCTGAACAATGAAGTTCTCTGATTTTCTGCCTTTTGGTCTTTTAAATAAACCATTTTTGTTATAGCTGTTTGAAAACTGCAAAAACACCTATTTATCCTGCCAGAAATCCAGTGAGATTATAACTTCCTATAGTGAACTACAACACAGTGTAACTGCTGCACTGAAATCCCAAGTAGTCTTATCAACCCTGCCCAGGTTACCTCTGTAAACTACATAACACCTGTTACGGAGATTAGAAGAGGGGGAGTTGTCAGGCAGCCCAAATCAGGAACCAGCAGCATTCATGCTCCTCTATAGATACAAATAAAGTGAGTAAGTTTTTTCACCAGTGTTACTTTTGACACCAAATTTCATTTTAGTCTTTTGACGAAAATTTATTTTTATTTTTAGTCGCATTTTAGTCATCAGATTAATTTTTGTTTTAGTCGACGAAATTCAAGTTGATTTTAGTCGACGAAAATTAAAGTCGGTTATTATTCAGTTGTTCACATCTCCCTGCTACAGGAAGTGCTCAGGGAACCAGAAGCCAAATGCACAAGTCTGGGAACTAATTTTCGTTCTGAGAATTTTCATTTCGTTTTCGTTCATCAACGAAAATATTCGTTTCGTTTTCGACCCGTTAGCTGCCCTAGTATTTCGTTTCGTTGTCGTCACAAAAACAGCCAAATGACGGGGGAAAAAAACTAAAATATTTGGTCGACAAAATTAACACTGTTTGTCACCCAAAGACAGTAAGTGTGTTACTGCAGAATCACCAGATGAAAATACAGGAAAAATAGAAAACGAATGCAGCCATCAGATCCAAGGACTCAAACTGCAGTACATTACATTTTTGTTCTTGGGTTTAGATACAACTCACTTACAATATAGCTAGTATTGGCTGTTTTCCATTATTCTCACACCTACATTTCACTCTCTCATGCTCCAGAACAAGACAGACTTGATCCGACTACTGAGCTCAAGTGCTGATCATCTATTTATAATAGTTACCTACATGTGTGACATAACCGTGCTGTCATTCCGTTACGTGGCATGGTGGACAGTGTATGACTTTGTTTTCCACTGGTCATAGTGTATTGACTGAAATTACACAGGAGTTTTGAAGTAACCATAGATAATTAGAGTTATGTTTAAAAGAGAAGTAAAGCCAAACATTTTTTTTTAATTCTATATAAACAGTGGAGCACTAAAAATGCAATTGTTTATCTATAAACTAGTTATCCTAAATACCATCTAATATTTTAAGATAAATATAAATATGTTTAGTGCCAAAGTTGTAGGGATGAAGTTGCAAAGATATAAAGGCGTAAGGCAGAGCTTCTGGTGATGTTATCACGCAGGTGCCAATACAAGAGCTTGGTTAATATCTGAACACTTGCGGGAAAGGTCCATCTTGAAAAGGCCTTCCAATTAATGGTGGAGTGTACAGAGTTGGATTGATTACAACAGTCAAGCTAACACGGAGGTGTTTGGAAGAATTTGTTGACAAAGGGACACTGTGGTAATAAACGTGGTGTATTGTTTTGGAAATAAGTAGTACGGATGACGTTTTACATTTTGCACACTATAATATAATCAGTATTTGTTCAGTGCCAAAATAGATATCAAATGATTCTCACAATATCAAAAGTGTGCAGTGACTGAGCGGCGTCTCTGATGCTTCCAAGAATGCTATGCTCCCTGCAGCGGTTATAGTGCTTTAAACTGGGGTATGATGGATTGCCTTAATTTGTTGTTTTTGTTTCAGCATTGGAGGGGTTTACTCACAAGGCATATGCACACACATGTAGGAGGCTATTCCCTTAAGTATTTGTATTTATAGTTCTTATTTTTGTGATTTTATTGCTTTACTCCCTTGGTGGACTGAAACATGTTAGCAATCTTTGTAGCTGCTTTTATGCATTTTCAACAGAGATTTCATTAAAAGGATTCCTACGAGTGCCAGGTCTTTTCCACTTCATTCAGTGGTTACATGATCACTCAGTTCTCAGTATATAGAGCTGGTGTGTGGACAGCTGCAGTGCCCCACGCCAGCTCTATGTATTGGGCAGAGCATATTTTACTCTCCCAAACTTTAATTTGTACTGATAAGAGTGTGCTACCTTAGCTTGTCTTGGTACCTTTGTCTTGCATCGGTAAGAAATGCATTTATTAACCTCTTGCCGTCCGCCCGTAGTAAAAAAACGGACGGACGGCACTGCTGCATTTGCTGATCTCCGTCCGGGCTGTGAATGCAGAAGTGATGTGTATTACATCACTTCCGCATTCACCTGTCAGTCTTCTGGCTGCTATAGCCAGAGAGAAGAAGCTGATAAAGCAGATCTCTGCTTCATCAGCTTCTTTTGGGGTCCACAGGTGACATTAGGGGTCCTAGAGACCCCTAATGTCTCCATAAAGAGGACCTGTCAGTGTGCCTTTGCTATTATATAGGGGGATTGTTATCCCCCCATATAATAGCAATAACAATAAGTGCAAAAAAATAAATATAAAACGGATGTCAACTGGTTAACTAAGGCTTACTGCAGTGAATATAAAAATAAAAAAGGAAAGTAATTGCATGACTGGTCAATTTTTAAAAAGAAACCATTTTTTTTAGGACAGAAAATAACATGTTTGGAATTCCTGTTCAATCATAATTGGGGACACAGCAAGCATACTATGTCCTCAGTTATTAACAAACACTCAGCGATTTTGTAACCTGCTCTCCATCCTGACTCCTCCACCTGTCACAGGAGGCCGAGTGGGGTAGTGCAGCAGGAGAGCTCAGCCTCCAGTGACAGCTGATAGCTCTCTCCTCCCTGGACTGCCCAGCTCGGCATCCTGAGCTCGGCATCCCTTAACCAGCGCCGGCAGTTAAAGAAGAACTCCAGGGAAATGTTTTATTAACCCGTGCAGTGGGGCTACGCCCACACTGCAAGGGTTAAAGGGGTTCTAAACCGTCCCGTTTTTTTGCCTATATCTACTGCTATCAAGCAGTAGATATAGGCAAACAGTTTAAAAAAAAAAAAAAAAAACCCCGCTTTAACAGCGGTTTAAACTTACCTTATTTTCGCTGCGCGCTCCCGCCTGAGATAATGAAACTGAACGGGCGGCTGCAAGTCATCTTGGGGCGGTCACTTGCGCAGTTTGGATTCTCGGCAGGGAGACGAGCAGAGATGCAAGGTAAGTCTATGGTAAGTCTATGGGCGCGTGCACCCGCAAAAATTATCCACCCGCCGCCGTGCTTCCCGGGCTCCGTTGCCCCTCCTACGGCTTACTTAGTGTCGGCGGGGAGATCATCGACGAACTTCCGTTCATCGATCCCCTCGCCGTTCTATGGGACCGGGAGCGATGCAGATTGCATCACTTCCGGTCCCTGGGCTGTCAGTTCTGGGCTCCTGCAGCCCAGCTATAAGCTATTGAAGTGCAATCTGCACTTCAATAGCTTATTTCCGGTGTAAAGGTGACACTGGGGGTCTTTTGGACCCCCAGCATTACCTTAAAGAGTACTTGTCACCACCATCTGCTAAATGTAAAAACATTTTTAAAAGCCCCCCGCCCCCCGTGAGCACGCGCGTCGCCATGTAAACACGCGCCGGGTGTGCCTACGTATGAAAAAGACGATCGCGCTACACATGTTGGGTATCGCCGCGCACACCGGAGTGAGAGCAATAATTCTAGGGCATCTCTAAATTGATGACCTGTGGGGGCTTTTAAAGCGTCTATGGACTTTTTGGGGTACTGCAGTTTATCGCCGTTTCACGGCTGCACGCAATTTGTAAACTGGGCATGTTGGGTATCGTTTTACTCGTTGTAACCTCATCTTTTATATTTCATTTAAAAAATTGGTATTTTGTTGTGTTTTGGGGCATTTAATTAAATTTTTCACTAAATGTTGGGGTTTAATAAGGAGTTGCGCTAATATTGCGCAACATAAAAATTTGCAACTACCACCATTTTATTCTATAGGGTCTTGGCATTCAGAAAATATATAATGTTTGGGGGTTTTAAGTCATTTTGAGGCCTAAAATGTGGAATAGAACATTGGTGCAAAAAATTTAAAAAAGGCCTCAGTCACGAAGGGGTTAATGTCACTTTAAGTGCTAGTTTTGGTCTAGGTTAAAAAATAAAAGGTATACTCACCTGAAGGGGATTCGATTAATGTCACTTGTGGCTGCAGCTCAGAAGAGATTAATGTATGCTGGCACTGCACCCATCCTCTGAAGCAGTCACTGGAGCTAGCTCCTCATTCCTTACTCATCTGATTTTTTGTTTACTTTCTCAGGGAATGGTGGAACGGATATAGAAAGGGGATAGAAATCTCAAGAGTTATTGGAAAAGAGGAAACTGGACTTAACTTGGGGATACACGACAGGGATGTCTGTGTGATCACTTGGCTGCAACAATCAAGTCTCTGATGACTTCCATGACTATGCATAGGATGCACCCACTCTGCAGAGTAAGCCCCAGGAACCTTTTGTAAACTTCCTGTAAAGCTAGTTTCTTTCTCCATAGAGGATCTCTTCTAATTTGACCTAATCTGTGTGTATGATCATGTCGGTGCCCAACTAGTGGACTTGTTGACTCCATGATCGAAGTGAACTTTGAAATTTCACCCCAAAGTTCGGTGCTGTTCCATGAGACCAGTACAGGGTGAATGTCAGCCGACCAGCTACTGGAGCAGTAGATCACACATGGCTCCTCCCTACTGAGGTTGATCATGGCCAAATGGTTGTATAATTATTTCAGTCAGACCATAATAACAATAATATCAAGAGCCCTCTGCAGCTTCCGAGACCAGATTACAAAAGGAAATTCAGCCCAGATGGCTAGTGTAAGTTCCACATGCAGCATCAGCAACCTTTCCCTCCATATCACATGACATGTGCCCACTGCCAGGTTACTGCAGGGATGATAGTGATCCAATTAAAGTCGAACGTGCCTAGATGGAGAGGACCTTTGAGCATACATACGAATCAAGCTCTTCTTTTGGCAAGCTGCTGGGGATTATCAGAGAAGAGCAGCAGGTAGAGGGCAGGAGCGGCAGCACCATGGCTCCGGGTGCAGCAGCATCACCTCCTCATCTTCACCTGTAGTGTAGCAACAGTGCAAAAAGACCAACTAGAGCCAGGCACCAGCACCAACAGCTTCCAGGGAAGCCAGAACTCAAGTTCATCATGTCCCCTAAGCACTGGTTCACAAAAAGACACTTGTGACACCGGAGGCAACATGGGAGCTGGGCACTCAGGGTTTGCTGACATCACTGGAGCCCATTGGTGGCTGTAGGAATGAGCAATGGGAGAGAAAAGACAAGATAAGGATGGGATTAACCTGACTGCTCACACCCTTCAAGGGTTTATATTTTTACATGTGATGAGGCCATGGCTTGCCTTTATGCATTCCCCTGTCTGCCTATACCTGCCAGACATGACAAATAAGTCTTAGGAGTTAAGGATAACCAGATCAGGGCACATACACGCTGGACTCTATAAAGCACTCAGGGTGCATTTGCCCATATTCCAGGCATGTGCCGTGTCCAGATCTGTGAGAATTACGGATCTGGATGCATCACCACAAAGGCCAGTGTGAATGAAGGTTCATTCAGAAAGTGTGCTTGATAGTAAGAGAAAGGTGTGCAGGCATGGTGGGTGCTAAGGGAAGGAGTGATGCAGGAACACTGGATTCCAACAGAAGTAGTGGTGTAATATGGTGGGTGGTGATAGATGACAGGTATGGGAGCGATGATAGAGGGGGGCTGCACACACAGTGACAGATACATATCTGTAAGCACGGTACCGGAGGGGGTTTGGTTGAAAGTGCAGTAGGGGGCTGCTGTGGGGAGGTGTGGGGTGATAGTGGGGGGAGGGGGACTGGCTGACATTGCAGAAGGTGAGAATGGAGGATAGTGGGGAGTGAGGGGACTCTGGCTGATGTTGCAGATTGGGGGTGGGGGATTGGCCAATAGTGAGGAGAGAGGGCAGGCTGACATTCCAGGAGGGTTTTGGAATAAAAGATAGGTGCATGCACTGTACGTGCTAATAGAAAGGGGAATACAGGTGAAGTGAAGGAGAGAGATTTGATCGAGGGGTAGGCTGCGGTACCCAGCAGCTAAAAGAGATGCTGCAAGCCAGCCTGGAAGCTACAGGGAATGTGCTCACACTGCTGGAGATTCTGACATAGGGCATAACAGACTGTCACAGGCGGCCGAGCGCTGCAGGAGGAGAGCGTTGTGAGCAGCCGGCATCTCTCCTCCCCGCACCGCTTAGCCTCCTGTCACAGATCGGGAGTGCGGCGTGGGCGGAGACAGCTTGCAGTGCTGTGACAGGAGGCTAAGCTCTGCTCGGTCAGCCTCCTGTGACAGCGTGTTAGGAAGGAGAGCGAGTACAAACACACGGTGATCACCGTTTGTAAATCATTGAGGACAGAGTAGGTTTACTATATCCTGAATTATGAATAAATGGGAAGTGATCTACATCACCTCCTGTTCATTCAGGATTGTGGTTATAGTAAACACACTATGTCCACAAGTACTGAGTCCACACTCAGTATAGTGGATTCCTGTTTATTTATAACCGTGGCTGCAGAAAAAGAGATTGTGGACACAGAGTCCTCAATCTCTTTTTCTATTTTAAAACTGAATTAATCAGGGGTCTGTTTAGACCCCCAATATTTCCCCAAACCCCCTAAAAGTAAAGTCAAAAATTAAAATATTTAATAAAAAAAATTGAAAAAGAATAACAAATATTTTCAGTTTCGGCCTGACATTTTTTTTCATTTTGGTTTAGTTTTCAAATTTTCATTTCGGTGCATCTCTAGAAAGGAGTTGGAGAGATCACTACTGGAGGCAGAATATAATACCCCTAGTCGGCCCCGCTGGCTCTGAAAATACCTGAACAATGCCTGCATCCAATCAGATTGTTCAGGTATTTTGACAGCCAGCAGGGCAACAAACAAGATACTGAAAGCTTGGCCCAGCGGGAGATTCCTCCATCCACACAGTTTAGCTTAGGTCCCGTTCACATTGAGCGATTTATCCCGCGATATCGCGGCAATTTACCGCGCGATATCGCTCTCCAATGCTTCTCAATGGGGCAAAGGGTCCTGCTGTCGCGGGTCGTGCGTCGCTACAGCAGGACCCTTTTTGGAGCGGATTTAGCCGCGATTCAAGCTTGCTCAATGCAAGCATTTGCGCGATATCGCGCAAAATGCAAATCGCGCGATTTGCGAACCGCTCAATGTGAACGGGGCCTTAGATGGAGGAATCTGTTGCACTTCTCCATCTGACCATAAAAAAATCTGCAGAAAATCTATAGGTGTATGGCCAGCTTTAGGCAGAAACAGCTGAGCTGTAGGTGGCCAACGTAACAGTATATTCTAAAAGGGAAAGGGGAACATGTGCAGAGAAGAAAAAAAAAAACTTCACTAAGGATGCTTGTTTGGCATAGAGTCATAAAGTACACTAGCGCATAGCAATTCAGAAACCAGTTAAACTGGTTCCTTGTTGTCAGAATAATTTATTCCGATTGATTTATTATACATGTTTGCAAGCCCTATTTGCAAAACAATACATAGCATTGGAGTTGTCAGCATAGTATTCATGGAGTTAAGGTGGTTTTGTATAATTATAGCGAAGTTCATCTCAGTGGTTGCATTAATGAAACACTTACTCTGAAGCTGCACCAGGAGGAAAGAAATAGGCAAAACTCTCAGCCAACTGTGTCTCCGTCTCAATGAAGTTATGGTGAATCGGTTTATAACTAGGCTCTACAGCTGCTTCCTTCATCACAGCTACACCATCTACAATGATATCCAGGCAGCCGCCAAAACCTGTGTGGGAATACAAGTTTATAAAAGCTACAGGTTATAAAAGCACTTGTACTGACCCAATTCTTTTTATTTTAGGCCTTCATAGAATTGTGACCAAACTTATGGCTAGGACGGGTCATATGTTATTTGAAAAAAAAATGAAGACTCCCGATTGGTCTCAACTGATGTTTTTTAGAACTTTTCACTTACTATCCCTTCCGGTTTTTATATATCCTTCCCATCATGACTGATTGATAAAGTGACTGTGCACAAAATTGCCTGACGTTAGCATATTATTTTGCAGTGCACCTTGTACACTATGAGAAACATGAAATGCCTGGATTTAAAATATTTTGCATTCTGATGTTTTGTTCAGTTTCTTTTTTTTATATAAATCATTTTATCCAGAACATGTATAGATTTTTGACAGATAAAATATATAAAAGAAACAGAAATGTTTATTTCTTTTAGACAGCTTTAGAAAAGCTTTCAGAGTTTTTCAGTCCTTAGGTCATGGACTGAATGTTACACACTGCTGCAATTATGAACCACAAGTAGCTGTGATCTTACAATTCAATTGTGATTCACATGAAACAAGTGGCCTAGAATCAGTCAGGACTCAGGGCACATTTACACCTATTTTTCCAGTGTGTTGCAGTAACATGCGAGAAACTGCCATGCACATGTTTGTACTGCGATGATATTTATATTTAATGGTATATTTAATGGTATGCCAAAGCACTAAGGCAGAGCACCACAACACATGGTAACACACTACCAAGCATTGTGGTGAGTTATGTCACACACAAAAAAATTAATCTGCAGGTCTATTTCTTTGCCCATTCCTGGAAGTCTATTACGGTAATTTGACTGGAATGCCTTACCACAGCCCATGACATAACTTGTGATAATGCCCGTGCATAAGGCACCAGAACATAAAGTTTGAATTGGCCCTTAGATTCCCAGAAAAGCCATTTCAGAATTAATTTTCCCAAAGCTGAACAGTCACAAATTAAATGGCAACCATTGAAAAGCTGTTAGAGAGCAGGCACCTTCATTGTGGACTTGAGGGAGAAGCAAAGCCATCTCGCCACTGGAGTCTCAAAGATCATTAAAGCTGGTAAGTGATTCAATTTACCAGCGCCTTCCCAAAATTAAAAACAGTTTTGTGTAGTGTTGGCCTCTACAACGCATTTGCAGTCATGAGGGACCGGAAACAATAAACAAATAGTAAAAGAATCTCCGAATCCCAAAACCAACCTCTTCAACAAACTTTTTATTGTACAGACATTGCAGCAAAGTTTAACATTTTAGCTGCCAAATGCTGGTGTCTGCTTTGAATACATGTGATGTGTGGCTTGCCCAGCACATCACTGATGTAGACAATAATGGTTGGAAAGTACAACTGCTTTTTGTCAGCGCTGCGCAGAATACATACTATGCTTTGCTTGTGAGAAGCAGAAAAAAGCTAAACTCCGAGCATTCAGTGGAAAGATCGTTTTGTGGGTAAAGTTCTGCTTTAGATCCCATTCACAGTGAGCTACATAAAAATAATAAAAAAAGTTTTCAGCACTGATTTGAGCTGAGCGACTTTTAGAGACATTGAGCTACAGTGCACATATTGTCACGCTACGTAGCACTACTTTTGGCATGGACTTCGTAGCTGCTACATTGGGCTGTATCCAATCAAAAGAAGTCTTGATGTGACATAATTCCTCTTCCTGTTTCCTGCTTATATTTCTGTGCAAAAGTGACACTTCTGTAGCGCAACGTCACGCAATAATCGCTGGTAATGTGAGACATTGAGCTACACATACTAAAGTCTGTTGGGCCAAATCGCACGAAATCCGCCGAAAAATAGGTCATCTTCATGCGACAAGCTTGAGCTATAAGCTACAGGCGACATTGAGCTGTGAGATGTGAACAGCTCCATTGAAATGCATTGGAAGAGCTACATTGAGCTTCATGTTTGAGTGATTTATGAGCGGAAATCACGCTACAGTATGAATGGGGTCTTAAAGCAAGAGAACACAGTATACTTGCAAATTATGACAAAGTTACTTCGAACTGTGAAGGTTCTCATTCATCCAGGTCATGGTATATCTGTAAATAAATAAAATAAAGTGAAGTGAAGGCAACTGGACTTGCTGTATTTTTCTTAAAGACGTTTCACTGGTCACTCAACCAGCTTTCTCAATTCAATTCAAACTGAATTGAGAAAGCTGGTTGGATGACCAGTGAAACATCTTCAAGCAAAATACAGCAAGTCCAGTTGCCTTGACTTACTTTTTTACAGATAAAATTACTTCTGAGTTTGCGTAATCCAGGAGTGACAGCTCTGAACTCTCTCTTACTGCCCTCTTCTCTGATACCTGTTCCGCTCGTTTACTTTTGGCCACTGGGCAGAGCACAATTACGTAACTGCTGTGCATGCATGATGAGGTTGCATTATCCGAACACCAGTTCCACTCTTTGCCATCTCTTTGTACACTGCATTATGCAAATGCCACAGACAGTGGAAATTTAAAAATAAATAATAGGTGAAAGGAAAATCATCATTATGGTAGTGGAGACAGATTTTTTTTCCCCCACCAAAAAACGCTGTACTAGCATCAAGTGAAGGTGTCCTTTTTATTTTTAAAATGATACTTTAATCTTTGTTTGTGAATTGCTAGATCAATTAACGCTCCAGCTTCCCAAGTCAGCATATCATGGGTTAACTGGGGTGCTGTAATCATATTATGCATATGGTATTTAGCACCGTTATGTTAAAGAAAGAAGAATATGCCTAAGGAGCATGTATGCACATCAAGAGACGGGTAGCTAAAGCCTGCATCCATACATGCTATGTGAGGAAAGAGGTGTCATTTTCACCCCTGGAAAGGTCTTTAAATCCTGTCCATTGATGAACATTTCTTTAGCATAACTCCAGATCCAGATCTAAAAAGTTTAGTAACTCATAACTCAGATAGACTGCATTACTAATTACCAATGCAAGTTTAAATAATCTACACAACATTCTGGTTGCACAGAGGGATATATTTTTTACACAATGTAGGCTTCATTTCTATCTGGATGTCTATAGTCCCATTGTGAGGTTGAATACTCCAGCTCCAAAATGCATAAACATGTTTTAATTGTCAACTGTTTGCAAACCTTCAAAAACTGCCTGACTAATTCTTCAAGCTAGAAAAAAAATATTTGTCAGTCCTTGTTTACTTAGATGTCAGTGACCTTATACAACCTCAGTGCTATACTTACTGGATGTCAGTTATCTCACTTTCACTAGTGAGGACTTGAAAAATTGCTTTGCACATTTCACAAACTGATTTGTTGGAATTATGTAATTAATTCAGTGCCTAAAAGTAAAAGTGGACAATCTCTCAACCCATTTTGGCAGGATCAAGCGTTGAACTTTGAGGCAGCTTCTGAAGCCCTGCACTAGCATTCTTAGGGAATAATATAATTTGTTTTGTATTCACTATTAAGCTCTTTTGTCTGCATTTTTTGGAGGACACATCTCTGCTTTAGATAATCATTACATGGTTATATTGCCACCTGCAGCAGTAGGATGCTAGCTGCAACTAAAAAACAAAAGACAGCCTAGGGGGCTCCCATTCCACAGCTATGGATAACTCAGGTAAATAACACACACAAGCATTCACACATATGGGCAGCAGCAAATCACAGGAGCGGGTGCAGTGTCCTCCAATAAAGACAGAAAAAAGGAAATTACAGTATTTTCTCTTTTATTTATGGAGCACATAGCTCTGCTTTAGATATTTATCAATTGGATGCCTCAAGCAGTGCTACAACGATGCCGGCAAGAAATAAGGAGGTGGAAAATAGAGTAACAGTCTTAAAAAAACAATGCAGACCAGTCAAATGGTCGGCTGCAAAACTTTGGGCAACAGGTTGAATGGAAAAAATATAACAGTGTATGTCGAGGTGGACTGTTCGTCATCACTCCCCAAGAACCTTGTATAAAACCCCTTGTTTGTCATTGAGACTGCACCAGCTCTAAAAATCCACCGAGTGCACAGAGACACTGGCAGGTTTTTTTTTTTTTTACCTGGTTGTGCTTGGGCACATGCGCCTTTGACCCAAGAAACAAAGCCTTCTTGGGATACCCAAGGCTGGGAGACTGGAACCCAACAAAACGACTTACAGACAATGCAAAATGGCTCCTCCACAGTCTCTTGCATTTAGGGAAAACGGAGGCTTGACCCCCCTTCCCCTCTGAAATGTTGCTTCTTCAATGCCTCACCAACTGAGAATGTAGGTTAGGCCCCCTTATCTGGGGTACTTACAATCTAATGGTCACGCTATCCTGGTCACAGCAGCTAGCTACCACCTGGCAGGAGCAGTAGCTTGTGAACTCACTGAAGTAATCAGCAGAAGTCTGGCATGATGAGCAGTATGTAGCCCCACACACAGTAGTGTGCAGCCACACATGTGATTTTTAAGCCAGGAGCGTGTTTTGCAGAACCACCCCTTCCTCCTTCCATCATTTCCTGCTCCTGTCAGGGCAGAATCCAAAATACAGAAATAAACTATATTGCCAAACGTATTGTCAATAGCTACAGACCTCCAAACTTCATGTGGCCTTCAGATTGGCACAACAGTGCGTACAGAGCTTCATGGAATGGGTTTCCATGGCCGAGCAGCTGCATCCAAGCTTTACATCACCAACTGCAATGCTAAGCGTTGGATGCAGTGGTGTAAAGCATGCCGCCACTGGACTCTAGAGAAGTGGAGGCATGTTCTCTGGAGTGACAAATCACGCTTCTCTGTCTGGCAATCCGATGGACGTGTCTGGGTTTGGTGGCTGCAAGGAGAACGGTACTCGCCTGACTGCATTGTGCCAAGTGTAAAGTTTGGTGGAGGGGGGTATTATGGTGTGGGGTTGTTTTTCAGGGGTTGGGCTTGGCCCCTTAGTTCCATGCAAGGGAACTCTTAAGGCATCAGCATACCAACACATTTTGGACAATTTCATGCTCCCAACTTTGTGGGAACAGTTT